CAGGGTGGATGAGCCCTACAGGACCAGTGGTGTGAGTGGCGAAACAGGGAGGGTAGAGGGAGAGTGGGTAGGAAAGAGGGAACCGATTACAAGGATCTACATGTGATGGGGGAGGTGGGGGATTAAACTTTTTAAAGTTAGCTGCTGTTACATTTCATTGAACTTTTAAAGTGACTTTTGAAAACTTTTAAACTCTTACTCAAAGCCAAGGACAAAAGGCAAAATAGAGAAAAGAAGATAGATGATTCAACCCAGTTACTAAACCTTCTAACTTCAGATTATACTAAAGTTTGTGTGAAATAAAAGAAAGGCTGAGCCTACTAAGGAAAACAAAATTCTCAGTAGACAATGTGCTATTTGAAAAGTTCAAAGATGTGATGATGTGGAGAGAACAAAGATCATCTTTTCCTATTTTGCCCAGGTTTTTCTCTCTGCTGGTTTCCAGGGAATATGCTTCTTCATTCTTTTGTATAAGAAAGGATATGAAAATATTTCAAAACCACAAGGATTTCCCATCATAATTAGCACTTCTCTGTGAGGGCACTGATTTACACATTACTAACCAAAGAGAAGACTTTTTCAAAATATACTACAAAGAAGTTCCACAGAAAAATGTGGGTTTTTTGCATCAGAATCATTGGCAAAATGTTTGAAGATCATCGCATTAATGCAGCTACTATGCAACAAGAGCATTGAAGGTACTGGTTTTTCTTCAGCTCTCTTAAGAGGTTTCTGGCTTGACTCTCAATTTCTTTCCTTCCTCTGTTCACTGAAGATCTGGACTCTATCTCTCGTCTCTATAAAATAATACTGGCCAGTAGAAGGGAACGGGAGCCCCGCTGGTACAGTGGTTATGCATAGGACTGCAATCTGCCTGGTCAGTAGTTTGAAACCATGGGCAGCTCTGCTGGAGAAAGACTGGGCTTTCTACTCCTGTGAAAGGTTACAGTGTTGGAAACCCTCAGGGAGTTCACCATGAGTCAGCATCGCCTCAAGGCAGTGAGGTGTGTTTTGGAGTAGAAGGTAAACCGGAAAAGAAAGGTTTGCTCTGGAGTTAATTTTTTAGAAGAAAATGGGGAGAAAATGTTATACAACAGAAGTTCAAGAAAAGATTTTAAAACGTTGTTTGGATGCTGGCAGGTGTTGAATTTTATCCCCCTGAAAACAAATTGAAATCTCAGTCATTATGAATGTTACCTTATTTGAAAGTATGAGGGTATTTAAAGACATTATTATTTATATTAATGAGGTTAGTAAGAGTACCAGCTTCTAATGATACAGATTGTTGTTGCTATGTGTATTAGATAGGGACAAAGGAATATAACAGATAATTAGCCCACACGGCAGTACAGAGGGCTCAGTTCAACTCACTTCTGTGAAACAGTTTATATACTGGTCCTTCAACTCATGAGGGCTGCTGAGTCCAAGGTCAAGGAAGCAGACAGCTGAGTCTTCCAGACAGATGAGTCTTCCGTAGAGCAATGCAGGCAGTCTGACCACAGGCAGCAAACAGCAGAGTGGGTCACCAACAGTCAGCCAGATAACAGGTTCCGACAGTCTCCAGTTTAAGCAATGCATATACCAGCAGTGTGGCGAAGCAGGTCTCAAAGGAACCTCAAGCTCTAGCGTCACAGTCCACAGGTTGGGTGTCCCACAGGTAGTGTAGCTTGCAAGTTGAGGCAGAGAACTAGCTAAGGCAGCTGCACACTGGTCCAATCAGCAGAGAGCAAGAGAGAGGTAGGGCTCGCCAAGCCATTTATCTCTTTGCCCTCTAATCAAGCTGCGACCTTATTAATCCCACACATTCTTATTGGCCAGGTTGGCACAATAAACCTACCTATCACACTATGGTGGTTAGATGCTGTTGAGTTGGCTCTGACTCATAGTGAACCTATGTACTACAGAACGAAACACTACTCGGTCTTGTGTCCTCCTCTCAATTGTTCTTATGTTTGGGCTCATTGTTGCAGACAGTGTGTCAATCCATCTCTTTGAAGGCCTTCCTTTGTGTCACTGCCCCTATGCTTTACCAAGCATCATGTCATTCCCCAGGGACTAATCTCTTCTCACAATGTGTCCAAAATATGTTAGAGGAAGTCTCACCATGCTTGCCTCTAAGGAGCATTCTGTCTGTACTTCTTCCAAGATCGATCTATTTGTTCTTGTAATGCATAGTACTTTACTTTGCCAGCACCATAATTCTTCCTTGGCTTTTCTTATCCAATGTCCAACTTTCACTTGCTTATGAGGCGATTGAAAATACCATGGCTTGGGTCAGGTGCAACTTAGTGCTCAAAGTAATATCCCCTGCTTTTCAATACCAGAAGGGGTCTTGTGCAGCAGATTTATCCAATGCAATGCATCGTTGGTCTGACTTTTTCTTCCATGATCACTGTTGTGGATCAAGACAACCCTTGACAACTTCAATCTTTTCTCCTTTTATCATGATGTTATCTCCTTTTATCATGATGTTACCTGTTAATGCAGTTGTGAGAATTGTGGTCTTTACACTGAGTTATAATCCAAATCGCTTCCGATTTTTCCTATAAAAGAGGTGAAGAAAATACATGAGACACTGAGGGCAGATAGCCTAGTGGACCTATGCGAAGATTAGATTTACCTTTCCACGAGCCAAGAAATATCCTGTGATTCCAAAAGCTGGAAAAGATTGTTTCCTCCCAGGAGGCTTTGACTGACACCTTGAATTTGGGCTTTTTTAGCCTGTAAACCTGTGAGAATAAATGTAATTTTAGGTCATTTACATTATGGTATTTTGTTAACAGCTGCCCTGGAAATGAATAACAGTTTCTTTTATAATTACTTTTGGTGGCCCTGACACTTTTTTATGGCTGAGCCACATGGGTCATTACTTTATATGGTTCAATTCAGATCTATATCTTCACCTGGTGTTGTGGAGTCTGTGCCTGCTCATAGCAACCCCGTGGAAACTGGGACAAAATGACCCCTGATCTCGCACTGTCCTCACAATCAGTGCTGAATGTGAGCCCATTGTTGCACCCATGGTCAGTCATGTCATTGAAGGTCATCCTCTTTTTCACTGACCCTCTGCCAAGCATCATGCCCTTTTTTGGAGAGTGGTCCCTCCTGATCACATGTAGAAAGTATTGCCAGCCTTGTGTCTAAGGAACCTTCTGACTAGTTTTTCTGAAGCCCATTTGTTCGTTCCTTTGGCAGGCCACAGTTCGTACTCAGCTACCATCATAATTTAAAGGCATTACTTCTTCCTAACTATTTGCCAACGTTCATAGGCAATGAGGCAATTCAAAGTATCATGGCTTGGGCCAGGCACACTTTAGTCCTCAAAGTGACATTGCTGCTTTTTAAAGGGGTCTTTGGTAGCAGATCTGCCCCACGCAATACATCATTTGATTTATTGACATTTATTTATTGACCATTCTTCACATAAGACTAAACCCAAACCAACCCTACTTTCAATGAGCTGATTGCATCTCATAGTGACCTTCAATAGGGTTTCTGAGGCTGTAAATCTATAGGAACAGGTAGTCTCATCTTTCTCCTCAGAGTGGCTACTGGATTTGTACCACTAACTTTATGGCTAGCAGTCCAGTGCTAACCCAAGAGCACCATGGGGTCTCCTCATTCTTTACACAGATAGCAGGTTTTCCAATTTCCACAATAGAGGTTATCTGCAACTTAGAAACAGAGAGCCTAGTGGTTGAACAGTGTAGAATAGAGAACATTTGAGGACTATAGATTGTTGAGATTTTTAATTCCCTAATCAAATTTGCTCTGTGGGTTCCTAAGAGAAAAGAAGGAAAATATGTTCAGAATAGCTTGAGTTCTTTAGGAACAATAAATTCTAACACAGTGGAAGATAAATTCACTATATAGATATGCACATAAAGGAATAAAGCAAAGAAAAAATGTCACATCTTTTAAAAATGATAAGCCATCTTTCATAGTTAAGAGACTCTACTTTCAAAGGAGGTTTCAAAATCCTTAAACCCATGGTTTATTGATTCATTCTCATTTCTCGTTTTTGAAACCAAACTAAATTTAGCACAGTTGTGTTCAAATAGGACGTATTTAAACACCATTACCTTGGCCCCAAAGGGACTTTTGGTCTAAGTGACCATGTAGATTGTGATGTATCTCATGTGTATGTATATGCTTCAGGATGGGTTTGAACTGCCAATGTTTTGGCTGGTAGTTGAGTGCTTAACCAGATGTACACTCCAGGCCCTCTCGTATTGTCGGTAGTGGAATCAAATAGTTTGATTGGTTCTACTTTTGGAAATGTCTAAGGCCAACTCCATGATACAGAATAGATATGTATGATTTGACTTGCCTTTGTATTTTTGGTGCTTTAAAATGAATGTTTTATATATGATTGTGTAAAGCTATTACCTAACATTGTTAATGTGCCTCATTTAAATATTTGAAAATGAAATGTATACTATTTTAATTCCTCATATCTGACTTATTTTTTCAGATCATAAGGCCTATGGATTTTCTTCCACAAAAGACAATCAAGTAGTGACAGCAATAGAATACCAAGGTATAGTAACTCTGAATTTCACTGACTGTATTGCTTAAAGAACTCACAAGGGTGACCACATATATTATCTTTCCTGAACTTCTCAATTTGTTGCTTTTTCTATTAGTTACAAGAGCCCTAGTGGCAATGTTGATTATGAGTTATTTCTATAATATCTGTACAGTTTATGTAATAGCTCCTGACATATAATAAGTGTTATAGGTGTGTGTAAATTAAATGTGTACCCTATGCCATGGTAATGCAGTGGGTTACATGTTGGGCTTCTAATGACAAGGTCAGTTAGTTCAAATCTAAAAGCTTCTTCTCTGGAGAGCGATGAGGCTCGCTGCTCCTGTAAAGATTTATCGTCTCAGAAACCCAATGGGGTAGTTTTACTCTGTCCTACAGAGTTGATTTGAGTTAGAATTGACTTGATGGAAATGGTTATGGGGTTATAATAAGAATCAATGTACCATTCAGAACTCTAGGTCCTAAATATGTAATTTAAATAACTATTAAGATACATCAGATTCTAATCTTAAATTGCAATATTTGGCAATCTAATAAGACACTCACTCTCCCTGGTGAATTACATTTAAATTAGAAGATAGTATTGGATTTACCTAGTGTCATAACTCAAGGACCAAAAGTAGGTGGGGTGGTGTTTTTTTGGTTTATTTATTTACTTACTTATTTATTTTAGTAGATGGTTTTTAAGGGGGAAAAAGCTGTCTTGTCTCACAGTTCTGCAGGCTACAAGTTTAAAATTCATGGTGTGCTTAGAGAGAGAGTTTCTTTCTAGGTATTCCTGGAGATTCCCTGATGTTCTTTAATCTCTATATTTTACCCAGTGTCTTTGTATTTGTTATGCTCTTTTTTTCAAATCAGAATCAATTAGGTTAGGACTCACTCTACTCTAGCATACCCACATTAACAGAACAAAAGAAAGATCTCATTTCCATCTAGAGTCAGAGGGACTGAAACTCAAAAACTTATTGCCATAGTCAATTCCCGACTCATGGTGACCCTTTTGGGCAGAGTAGAATTACCTCCGTGGGTTGCCAAGATTGCAATTCTTTAGGCAAGTAAAAAGGCTTATCTTTCTCACAGTCATAGGTACAGGTGTTAGAATTTCAGCACATTTGGGGAGAGACACAATTGAATCCCCAAAGGGGAAGAAAAGGGAACTAATGATTAGGGATTGTTTGGGACTACCAAATTTTTACCGCAACTAGACAGTCATAATGTCGTGAGCAAATCTGCTGCACAGGATCTCTTTAAATTGTTGAAAAACAAGGATGTCACTTTTAGGACTAAAGTTCTGACTCAAAACATGGTGTTTTCAATTGTGTGTGAAAGCTGAACACTGAATAGGAAGACTGAAGAAGAATTTGTTCCATGTATTTTGGGTATATTGTCAGGAGAGACCAGTCCCTGGAAAAGGATATGCTTGGTGAAATAGAAGGAGAGCCCAATTGCAAGAACACTTTTGTTCTATTAAACTGGCATTCCATGATGCTCACCTCCCGACATGATTGTGGGTGCATAAGCAAATGTGGTGAAGAAAGCTGATGGTGCCCGGCTATCAAAAGATATAGCATCAGGGTCTTAAAGGCTTGAAGGTAAACAAGCGGCATTCTAGCGGAGAAGCAACAAAGCCCACGTGGAAGAAGCACACCAGCCTGTGTGATCATGAGGTGTTGATGGGCATGAAAGAACAAAAAATCATATCATTGTGAATGAGGGAAAGTGCGAAGTGGAGACCCCAAACCCATCTGTAGGCAACTGGACATACCCTTACAGAAGAGTTGCGGGGAGGAGACAAGCCAGTCAGGGTGCAGTGTAGCAATGATGAAACGTACAACTTTCCTCTAGTTCTTTAATGCTTCCTCCCTCCCCCCCACGCCCCCACCCCTATAATCATGATCCCAATTCTACCTTACAAGTCTGGCTAGACCAAAGGATGTACACTCATACAGATAAGAAGGGGAAGGTGGGGTAGAAAGGGGGAACTGATCACAAGGATCTACGATAACCCCCTTCTCCAAGGGGATGGACAACAGAAAAGTGGGTGAAGGGAGATGTCGGACAGTGTAAGACATGACAAAATAATAATTTATAAATTATCAAGGGTTCCTGAGGGAGGGGTGGTGGGGAGGGAGGGGAAAAAATGAGGAGCTGCTACCAAGGGCTCAAGTAGAAAGCAAATGTTTTGAGAATGATGAGGGCAACAAATGCAAAATGTGCTTGGCACAATGGATGGATGTATGGATTGTGATAAGAGTTGTACAAGCTCCCATAAGGAAGACTTCTCAAGTAGATGGACTTAGGCACTGGGAGCAACACTGGACTTCAACATAACAACATTGTAAGGATGGCACAGGTCCCGGCAGCGTTTCATTCAGCTGTACACGGGGTCCCTAAAAGTTGAAACTGACATGGTGGCACCTTAATAACAACATTGGAATTTTTACCAGGAGGAGAAACAGTTTCTCCTGTTGTGGTGACCCCCAACCATGACAATATTTTAGTTGCTACTTCATAACTGTAATGTTGCCACTGCTATGAATCATAATGTAAATATCTGATATGGAAGATGTATTTTTATTATTACAAATTGAACATAATTAAAGCATAGTGATTAATCACAAAAATAATATGTAATTATATATTGTGAAATATTTACTTCTAATTACAAGTAAATGAAAATTTGTCTTGAAGCTTGGTGTAGCATGGATAACAGTGTTCACGCCAGGTACTCGTATCTGCATGTGGGCGGACCCACCTGGAGATGGAGAGAGGAGCGGTGTCTTAGGTTCCTAAGAACATCAGAAATATGTGTTTTCCGATGGTCTTTGGCGAACCCTGTGAAAGGGTCGTTCGACCCCTAAAGGGGTCGCGACCCTCAGGTTGAGAATCGCTGGAGTAGAAGATAAAAGAGATGGGATCTGATGCAGAGATGGAGGACACACAAAGGAAATGAAGTTAATTATGCCTGCTTCCCAATTTCCTGGAGGTTTAATTTTTGTTTCCAGTTAAATTCTATGTATATACATTCCTGACCCTTCTCCCTATGCTCTATGCCATGAAATCACATTTTGTCTAAACGATATTTTTTAACCTCATTACTTTTTAATTATGCTGCCTACCTATGCACCGTACTTTATGTGTGGGGGAGGGAGTGTGATTAAAGTATACGCATATATAATAATTTGCTAATTCGTTAATTTTCACATGATAATTCAGTGACATTAGTCATGTTCAGCGTTATCACTATTCTTTTCTTAATCATTCAACTACCATAAACAGAAACTCAGTGCCATCTAAGCAATGGCCCCTCAAGTCCCCTCTCCATCCCACCACGGGTAACCACTAGTAAGCGTTGTTCTTTTGCATTTGCCTATTTTATAAGTAAGGTCATACAGCACTTGCCCTTTTGTGATAAACTTATTCTTCTCAGCATAACATTTTCAAAGTTCATCCATGTTGTGGTATATGTCAATGTCTTATTGGTTTTTAAATCTGTGTAATATTCCATTGTATGTATGTATCTCATTTTAAAAATCCATTTATCTGTTTTGTTTTGATGTTTTAGTTTAGCTGCCAAACGTTTCTCTTTTTATGCTTTTTTAAATTGGGTTTTTGATTAGAGTTTACTCAGCAAATTAAGTTTCAATTTCACAATTTATTTACATATTGTTCGGTGACATTGATTACATTTTACACATTGTCAACATTCTGCATTCTCCATGCCTTAGGGTAAATGTTGCCCATTTTGTCTCAGAGATATGTTATTGTTGTTATTTTTTAAAAGAGCACATTCTCATAAGTGATGTGCTAATCGGTCGCTATCATTTAGCAGAGAGATATTTTTAAACAGTAGTTTATTTTAGGCTCTACCAGCCCAGGAATTCTGACTTATTCTTTAAAAAAATTTTTATAAGAATTAGCATTTTGTTAGACAATTTTGTACCCTTCTATCTAAGATGCTTTTTTGTGTAACTGGTCGGAATGCTCAGAAGTGGTAGTAGGGCATGATCTAGTACTTTCTCTAGATAGATAAAGCCATGGTTCATGGAGGCAATTCGTCCTATAGACTGGATTCTTCTTTCAGTCTTTGGGTTCTTGCTTTCATTTTTCTCCACAAAATAGTTGCCTTAGATGGCTGCTCAAGCTTTTAATGCCCAGACACTATTTCCCATCCTAGAATGTGGAACATAACTTCATAAACTATGTTATACCAAATGACTAAGTTTGTTCATGTGACTCCAGTTCTAAACCTTCCACCCAGTAATCTAAACCTGAAAGATATTTATTTGGGAGGAAGTGATAAATAAACAACCTGCAAATAAATAAGTAAATATATATATAAAATATCTGTAAATCCACCTGTATATGCACTTAAACATATAAGCTTACTATATACATATCATATCTACCTAAGTAACCTCTCTTGTTCAGAGTCCTGCTAACACTTGCACTTGAACTTAGAGTAGCTAAAGTGAAAGGAAGAAGTGCTGAAGTGAAAGAGCTTCCCAAAGGCAGCTGGAAAAGACAAAAAAGATATTATCCTGATGAACAGTCCAAAGACTTGGAGTTAGAAAACAACAAGGGAGAACTCGTTTGACATTTCTGCAGAAAGAACTGAAGAAAACGTCATGGTGTGGGTTGTATTATTGAAAGATTCTTTGGCCAAAATATCAAATGACTCAGGAAAGATCAAAAAAAGATGGAAAGACATGTCAATAAAACTGTTAAGGAAAAAAAGATGGAAAAAACACATAGAGTCTTGGTATATGTTGGTCAACATTCAACCATTTAAGGAATAGAAGATGATCACAAACCTATGGCACTAAAGGAAGAAGTCCAAGCAGCACAAAAAGCACTGTTGACAAACAAAGATTCAGGAATTAATTATCAATTGAGATGTTTCAACAAATGGAGGCAATGCTATAAGCTCTTTCTCATCTATGCCAAGAAATTTGGAAAACAGCTACCTGACCAAGTGCAAGAGGTCCATT